AACTGTTTCCCCTAGACCCCCGATGCATAGCCGCTCATGGCGGTCCACCCATCATTAAGGAAGAAATGAAGATAGAAAGAAAAGAAAAAAAACACATTCCACGGCATCCCGTCTTTCCCGCACCCCCTAGACCCCCCATACATAGCCGCTCATGGCGGTCCACCCATCATTAAGGAGGAAATATAGATAGAAAAAAATAAAAAAACACACATTCCACGGCATTCCGTCTTTGCTGCATCCCCTAGACCCTCAACGCATAATAGTTCATGGCGGTCCACCCATCATTATAGAACAAATAAAGATAGAAAGAAAAGAAAAAACAACACACATTCCACGGCATCCCGTCTTTGTCACCCCCCCTAGATCCCCCATGCATAGTCGCTCATGGCGGTCCACACATCATTAAGGAAGAAATGCAGACAGAAAGACAAAAAGAAAAAAAATACCTTCCACGGCATCCCGTCTTCGCCGCACCCCCTAGACCCCTCATGCATTGCCGCTCATGGCGATACACCCATCATTAAGGAAGAAATAAAGATAGAAAGCAAAAAAAAAAAAAAAACACATTCCACGGCATCCCGTCTTTGCCACACCCTCTAGACCCCCCATGCATTGCTGCTCATGGTGGTCCACCCATCATTAAGGAAGAAATGAAGATAGAAGAAAAAAAAGAAAAAACAAACATTCCACGGCATCCCGTCTTTGCCGCAACCCCTAGACCCCCCACGCATTGCCGCTCATGGTGGTCCACCCATCATTAAGGACGAAAGAAAGAACAAAAAAAAAAAAAAAAAACACATATTCCACGGCATCCAGTCTTTGTCGGCCCAAACAACCATTTCCCCCTAGACCCCCCATGCACTGCCGCTCATGGCGGTCCGCCCATCATTAAGGAAGAAATAAAGATAGAAAAAAAAAAAAAAAAAACACATTCCACGGCATCCCGCCTTTGCTGCACCCCCTAGACCCCATATGCATTGCCGCTCATGGCGGTCCACCCATCATTAA